CTTTCATTCTCTCATGTTTTGCTGGCCTACTGTGGGTTAGACAGTGGCTTAGGCTCTGAGAAGCAGATCTCAGTAACAGTAATCAAAACACACATGTCTTAAGCACTTATTCTATGTCTCTCAAACACTGTTCTAAATGCTTTACATTTTTTAACTCATTTAACTCCCACTACAACACTGCAGGGTAAGCAAAATTATCATTCCTTCTTTAGAAATGAAGAAACCGACATAAAGCCATACAGTGAGTTGTGGGGCGTGGGTTATAACCCCAGCAGTCTAGCTCCAGAGCCCACCCACTTAACCACTCTGCTACATTCACTGAAAAGCCTGCATGCAGTGGCCATATTTTTGTGGCTTCCATCACAGTGCAGTCCCAGAAGTTTCAGGAAAATTGTGTGACATGGGAGTGTCTGCAGATTTTAGAGCCCTGAATTTCAGATGTTTTCCAATGAGAAGCCATGGGCTTTACCAATATCTTAGCTAATTACTAATTACTGCCTAGTTACTTGGCTCTCTGGGAGGAGGGTACCAAATCCATCAGACAGTTGTACAACTTTCCACTTGGCTTTGACTCTGTGGGTGGTAATCACAAAGGCACATTCAGCAATTTACACAAAGTCACAGATCATTCAAGCAAAATATGTCTAACTTTCAAACTTTATGTGATAAACAGTAGAAAATTCTAAACATTTAGCTCATCAATCCTGCCATCTTGAGACATAACCTGCATTACCAGAGTCATCTTTCTGTAACTACCTAAATTACTCATTATATCTCAATTAATCAGAGAAAGAAACTTGCAAATAGAATTTTCAACTAGAAACTTCTAAAGAGAATTTTACTTGAAGCAAAATAAGGAAGAAATAGGAAAGATCCAAATCCCAACAGTGAGACAAGTCAAGCTGGTAACAAAGCTGAATCAACAACATGCTTTAAGAGCCCCAACCAAATTAACCCCATGAGCATAGCATTTATACCCGCCGTAACCATGATCCCAAATCCAGAAGCAATTAAAGAAGAAATTAATACACTGGATTACATGAAAACAAAATACAATAAGCAAAGTGGTCAATTCTAACATTGGGTATACATTGTGGACTACCCCCACCAAACTCCACTAAATCTCCCCCATGGAAGGATGCCAGTGGTTCCTAACTGCCAAATCAAGTCTTTCTTCAATCTCCTTTCTCCTTGACCACTCTGCAGACCAGCCCACTTATCTGGGTTCCCTCCTCCCTTGGCTTCCATGATCCTTCTTCCTCTTTCCCTACTACAGGTGCCCTCCTTCTCAGTATTATTCTCTAGCTCTTCTTCCCAGCCCCTAAAGTGGCCATCCCTCAAAGTTCAGGCTTAGACCTTCTGCTCATTTCTTTCTAAATTCCTTCCTACCTATCCTGAAGTCTGCTCTGATCTCTCTCCTGAACTGTAGTCCTATGAGCCTAACTGCTGAAAGACATTTTTACATGAATATCCTGGTATTAATTCAAATTCCCATCTTAAAACTAACTTCTCAAACTTCACTCTTCTTTTATTATGCCCTCACATACATCACACATCACACACACACACACACACACACCCCACAAGACTGCTGGAACCCCTCCTTACACTACTTCAACATCCTGTCCATGCCTCAAGTGTAGCCCAGATTACCCTAGATTATAATCTCTGATTTGTGGGTATGTTTGCTTCCCTCTCCAAGTAGACTGTAAATTCCTTAAGCGGCAGGAAATGTATCTTAATCACCTGTGTATCCCCAGGGAATATTGCAGGTGCTCAATAAAATCTGTTAAGAGAAATTAATAAATATAGATGATCTGTTCCGGCCAAACTGGTCCATTAAGAGTCTCCACCTGTTTGGCATTTTCATAGTCCCCACTCCCCAGAAGTGTCCTCTCTCTGATGCTGCACCCATGGAAAAATCCTATCAATCCTTTACAAGACTCAGCTTAAACTCCACTGGCACCATGAAATCTCATCAGATGACCCTATTCCAAAAAGACTCCTTGCTCATCAGTCTTACAACGACAGTTCAGCGTCATGAAAACAGGATCTTTGAAACTACATAGGTCTGGTTCAAAACCAGGCTCTAGCATATGCTACTCTGGGCAAATTCCTAAAGCTTTCTAAAGCTTAATTTTTTTCAGCTATAAAATGAGGTAAATGATACCTATCATAGAGAATTTGGGGAGGATTAAAGAAGAGTAAACCATCTCGAACACAGGAGATGTTCAGGAAATGTTAACTCCTTTTCTCCACCCCACCTCCCTTTCACTTCATTTACCATTCACATGGTGTTTAGGTTGATAATGTATGTTTTGTCTCCTCAATTAGATTGTAAGGATTAGCAAAATCCTTAAGGGTAAGAGCTGAATCTCACTCATCTCTCTGTCTTCCTAATACCTATCAATGTTCCTTACAGAGACAAAATAAAAATCAACAGCAACAAAATTACAGTTACAGTGGATTATGGCAATCAAGTATAAATGGTGCCAAGACTAGAACTGACAGTCATAAATTTTCACCCAATTTAGCTGTAGAATTGTTACATGGCACCTCTGTAATTTCACTCCTGCCAAGGGCAGATTTCAACAAATGACGGTACAAATTAAAACAGATCATTTTCTAGAGTATGCAGGTTAGTAAGTAATCTTCAATAATAACCTTAAAGGTGATTTAAATTAAATATTACAGTCGGTATTAAAAGAGTCTCTATACATGTATTTGTCCCCATGTACTTTCATGCAACTGTTTTCTTTCACATACTCTTTAATATGATTGTAACAGATTTCTTCATACCACTTGTTAAATAACTGAAAATAGATTGAAATTTTGTATTTCCCTACCAAGGTTAAAAAAAAAAAAGTAAAAGCTAATACTCAAGCAAAACTGGTAAGATCAAGATCCAAAATTTGTGATAATTGCAGGTAAAATCTATCAAAATCTCTCTTTAATTAAAATGGTTTCTTTCTGAATTGCTTTCATTAATATCAAGGCTTCAACATCCTTTCTGAACTTACTGGAATGCTTTTTTTTCTATCCTGATTCTTCCTCTACCACATGCTATCTTCGACAGGCATCAATTCCCATGGTTGGGTTTCATTATTTCTTTTAACTACTGCCCCACTTGCATGTGCTAACAAGTTGGAAGAGCCGCAGTGTGCTGGGTAGTAACCTCTAACAATCGGCTCTTCATTGACACTCCCAACCACATTCCCTTTCCCTGAAGAAACTATTTCTACAGTTTTCATAGACTGTGCAACTATAACTCTAATACAAAAAAGCAATTAGTAAGAGAAGAGCATGTGCCAAATACTACACGATTTCAGTATTTTCTTGCTTCCAAGTACTTTTTGTTTTGTTTTGTTTTTTGCCCTATGGAGAAGCTTATGGTAAGAAACAGAGGCATTCAATTCCATCAGATCAAATCCACCAGAGTAGAGTATATAGACACTTTGGTAGAGGAGGAAAGAGCCAAAAGCCAGGCATCAAAAGACCAAGTTTCTAATCTCAGTTCAACCACCTATTTTATATTATTAGGCAAAACCATAACCTCTCGCAGCTTCAACATCCTCTTTTATATACTAGAGATAATAATCACCATCCCTATTTCAACAGCTTGTTTCAGAGATTATGAAATCACAGGATCACAAATGGCACTGTGTGATTATAAAATGTGTATATGATATACATGAACATATTTTTGAATAATAGCAATGTCATAGCCTATGGGTAGATAAAAAATAATTTTATATCATGTATTAAAGTCCTAATTAAATACTTGACTAGACAAACTGTTACACCAAATTCTACATACGGTGCATCCAAGGAAATTTTTTTTTTTTGAGAAACAGAATCTAGCTTGGATATATATGTTCACAGTCCAGATCATAATTGTTGGAGCAAGTATCATTCTCCAATCTGATGGGCATTGAGGAGGGCACTTGATGTAATGAGCACTAGGTGTTATCTGCAACTGATAAATCACTAAACTCGACCCCTGAAACTAACACACTAATTTAAATTTTTAAAAATCTGGATTAACATTCTTGCAAGCAAATTTTTAATCACAATCATAACATACCTAAACTCTCCTTTCTGGGATCAATCAAACTTAGAGTAAAGAAAGTACTGGAGGTTAGTTTTTCATGCTAAGAATTTCTGCATTATGGTCTTCAAATAAGCCTTCACTATGATGAATTTAAAAGTTAAAAAAAATCCGGAATAATTTCATGATTTTAGATTTTCTTTAAGGTTAAAAAGAATAGCACCATTAAATTAGCAGATTCCTAAATCATTACTCACTTCCAACTCCCTAAGCAAAGTATCAATATACTTCCATTCTCCAAATAAATTAAAAGATTCCCTATAAACATATACACACACATTTCCTAATTGTGTTTTTATGGCTTTAACTTTTTATATGCGGCAACTTTTGAACTTTTGAAATTGTTTAGCATATGTTTTTTTCTTTTCTTTTTGGTTGCTTGCAATTTTCTACAAGATCTCCATTAGAGCATGATTCTGGCAGACTTTATGTTAATTGCTGTTCCAATTCATGAAAACTGTTTAAAACATGAATTTGAAAAAAAAAATCTTATTTCAACTATAATTCTGTAGCTAAAATTCTTTTTCTAAACTTTGCAAACATTCTGTGCAATCTAGATTAGTGCTGAGAAAAAAACTGGATTTAAGTTGCTCAATGTTCTTCAAAAGGTGAAAAAGCATAATGAAACATAAGCTCATCTGAACAACACCCATTTTCAATTTCAACATAGTAAAACTCCTGTTTGTTCTTAGGGCAAATTCAAAACCATACATATTGGAATTGGTTATTACTTAAGATAATGTATGCAATCATAAGTAAAGATGCTAAATTGGCAAAAAGAAAACCATGCAAGTAAGCAAACCCTAACAACATGTGGGACACACCCTCTCAGTATATAAAGGCTTGTCACTGTCCTTGGTAGCAAGCATTCCCTGGGCTAAACAGCATCACCATGTCTGTTCGATACAGCTCAAGCAAGCAATACTCTTCCTCCCGCAGTGGGGGAGGAGGAGGTGGAGGAGGAGGATCATCCCACAAAATTTCGAGCAGCAAAGGCTCCATTGGTGGAGGATTTAGCTCAGGGGGGTTCAGCGGTGGCTCTTTTAGTTGTGGGAGCTCTGGTGGAGGCTGCTTTGGGGGCTCATCAGGTGGCTATGGAGGATTAGGAGGAGGTTTTGGTGGGGGTAACTTTGGTGGAGGTAACTTTGGTGGAGGTAACTTTGGTGGAGGCTGTGGAAGCAGCAGCTTTGGTGGGGGCTATGGAGGAGGCAGCTTTGGAGGTGGCAGCTTTGGTGGGGGCAGTTTTGGTGGGGGCGGCTTCGGTGGAGGCAGCTTTGGAGGCTATGGGGGTGGATTTGGAGGAGATGGTGGACTTCTCTCCGGAAATGAAAAAGTAACCATGCAGAATCTGAATGACCGCCTGGCTTCCTACTTGGACAAAGTTCGGGCTCTGGAAGAATCAAACTACGAGCTAGAAGGCAAAATCAAGGAGTGGTATGAAAAGTATGGCAACTCAAGCCAGAGAGAGCGTCATGACTACAGCAAATACTACCAAATCATCGAAGATCTTAAACATCAGGTAAGGTTCATATTAAAAATCCAACTTTAAGCCTATTTTTTATCCATGTAATTCAAACAGATGAATCTAAATTAACCACAATGTAGCTATTCACTGTGTTTGCCTATGTTACTTTCCTGCTTCCAAAAACAATCCAGTCTTATCAAAGGTGAATATTTGTGATGAGATGGTCATTGAAATCTTCAGCACGTGTTGCATATCTTACAGGATGGCGGATTACTGAGAATTTTTTAGGTTTTAGTGAGTATATGAGTCCATAGCTAAAATACTAGATAATTTACAAATTCAGGAACTAAAAGAATTATTAAGTGAATCAAAACAAAATATTATTCAGATTGATAACAAAAAAAATATTCATTACCAATGACAAGTAACATGAATTCTCCAGGATGGAAATGGGATAGTTTGCCCCTAGAGAATTTGTGAGTTGTACCTACTGTGAGCCAGCCCAGAGTGTATTCCTTTAGAATATGTATTTAAAACAAGTTAAACCGAAAGGTATGAGTCAGTCAAAAGTTGGCTGAAATACATGGAAATCACCCAGGATAAAAGTAGGGGAACACACATGCAGGAACACAGCTTATAATTGCAGTTAGTTTTCAGAAAAGGACAATACAGAAATAGCAAAGTATAGAAACTTCAAGAGAACGAATGACTCAAATTTAAGTATCTGGGTAATCCTGCAATATTTTATATTTTGTAAGATTTTGTAAGAGAACATAAAAATGCAGGTCATCTATGCCACCATAAAAGCCATATCTGTATCTGATTTCTTTGCCTCTCCCTCCAGATCCTCCGTCTAACAACTGACAATGCCAATATCCTGCTTCAGATCGACAACGCCAGGCTGGCAGCTGATGACTTCAGATTAAAGTAAGCTAAGTGAACGTGGCACAACACTGTTGTAAAAGATACATGAGTTGCTTTTTTTTTTTTTTTTCAACTTCAAAGTCTTTAATAGTTACCTGTTAGGAGCAATGTAAGGTAAGGGTTATAATCTACATGAGTTGCTTTTAACAATGACTTTGGACGCCCACAACAGCATTTACATTTTCTTGAGTTCATGCAAAGTTAAACGGTACTGGAGTCGTCAGAAAATGTTTCAATCTCAATATTACCTTTTGGGCAATATTAAAAGAAAAAAATGCATTTTAAAGTAACTGCTAAGCTTCTTTGCATTAAACCACTAATATCCCTATGTGAATTGGTATACAATGAATGTTGCCATGATATGAACTCAACTCTATATTTGCTTCTTAAACAGTCTCAGCCCAAGTATACCTCCCATATGTAAGTTATATCCAGTATTTGTACTATGCGTTTTTCAGGTATGAGAACGAGGTAGCCCTGCGCCAAAGCGTGGATGCCGACATCAACGGCCTGCGCAGGGTGCTGGACGAGCTGACCCTGTCCAAGACCGACCTGGAGATGCAGATCGAGAGCCTGACTGAAGAGCTGGCCTACCTGAAGAAGAACCATGAAGAGGTGATGCAAAAAGTTATACTTCCCCCGGCCAAGAAAAGGGTTCATTGTGGTCATGGTGCAGTCATTAAATTTTTCTGTTCCTCAAACAGGAAATGAAAGACCTTCAAAATGTATCCACTGGTGATGTAAACGTAGAAATGAATGCTGCCCCAGGTATTGATCTGACTGAACTTCTGAATAACATGAGAAACCAATATGAACAACTTGCTGAACAAAATCGCAAAGATGCTGAAGCCTGGTTCAATGAAAAGGTAATTCATCTTCCTTCATGATGAGGCCAGTGGACGTTTGGTTATCATTTCAGATTTTTCTCATCTTTTCCCCTGTTTTTAATACTCTAGAGCAAGGAACTGACTACAGAAATCAATAGTAACATTGAACAAATGTCCAGCTACAAATCTGAGATTACTGAATTGAGACGAACAGTTCAAGCTCTGGAAATCGAACTACAGTCCCAACTAGCCCTGGTATGTTAATAATTCTCTCTCTTGAAATAACTTCTATGCAACTCAAGAGAAAAGAGGGGGTAAGAAAGTAGAAATAAAATTGGAGCTCTTTGTTAACAGGGGAGAAGTCTTAGCGGCCCTGCTCTAAACATGCTTAAGTTAAAATGTTGCCATTGAACATAAAACACAAATTCTGTTCATTTTCTTTATTCTTCTATTTGATGTCTTATTAAACGATTAAATAATCTTCACTGTATTTAATTAAACAGTGAGGTCGCTAAGTCACCATCTATGCTCTCCTCTTTCTCAGAAACAATCCCTGGAATCCTCGTTGGCAGAAACAGAAGGTCGGTACTGCCTGCAGCTCTCACAGATTCAGGGCCAGATCTCCTCTCTGGAGGAACAACTCCAGCAGATTCGAGCCGAAACCGAGTGCCAGAATGCTGAGTACCAACAACTCCTGGACATTAAGATCCGACTGGAGAATGAAATTCAAACCTACCGCAGCCTGCTAGAAGGAGAAGGAAGGTGAATCATTAACATGTTTAAATTACCCCAATTGGTTTTATTGAATGTTCTAAATCGCCAGGTTCTTCCAAGACCCAAAGAAGTGCCAGAGGATGGGAGAAAGGGAGGAGAAGGGAGAAAGCAAGGAAAGGGCGTCTGCGGCCACAGCTTCCACCCCCCATGGATATGACTCTTAGGGTTGTGTGCAACATAAAACTGTTTTTAAGTAATGGATTTTAGAATCCACACTTGACAGGGTTTTGGGTTTTTTTTCCCTCTCGAAACACGTTGTGCTTATTTTTAAAGTAACAATAACGTGGAAAGCGACCCACCCTTTTCCAAAAAGTTAGAGGTAACCGAACGGGACCCTTCCTCCTGGTAGTTCTGGCGGCCACGGCGGCCAGTTCCCCGGCAGCGGCGGCCACGGCGGCCACGGCGGCCAGACCCCCGGCGGCGGCGGCCAGACCCCCGGCGGCGGCGGCCAGATCCCCGGCGGCAGCGGCAAGGGCTCCGGCGGCAAGGGCTCCGGCGGCGGCTACGGTGGCGGCATCGCCAATGGAAGTTTCAAATCCTCGTCTTCTGGGTCGGTTGGAGAATTCTCTTCTAAGGCACCAAGGTCAGCAGAAACTAGCTGGGGTAATCAGAATTAGTTTTAACTTTCGGTGATGGTTTTGTTGCTTTTTTACGCTCTAGAGCTTTTTAAAAAATTAAAATCTCAAAGAAGATTCCCACTTGCATTTTTTAGCAAACTGTACTCTTTTTTTTTTTTTTAAGATTTTATTTATTTATTCATGAGAGACAGAGAGAGAGAAGCAGAGGGAGAAGCAGGCTCCCAAGGAGCAGGGAGCCCGATGCGGGACTCGATCCCAGGACCCTGGGGTCATGACCTGAGTCTAAGGCAGACGCTTAACCGGCTGAGCCACCCAGGCGCCCAGCAAACTGTACTCTTGACATCCATCTTGAAGGAAAAATGTCATAGTCCAAGATGCTGTTGCTTAAACATTGTTCGGAATCTTTTTTTAAGAACGTAAAAAATGAACTTTCTTTTTTTTAATGTAGTTTTTTTTTAGAAATTTTGATTAATTAGTAAGGACCCCACAAATCGCTTAGTCTAAATTCCTTTTTTTTTCATGATTCACATACAGATACTAACAAGCCCAGAGTAATCAAGACAATTATTGAAGAGGTGGCATCTGATGGTAGAGTCCTTTCATCTGTGGTTGAATCGGAAACCAGGAAACACTATTAAGCCGCACCAAGAGGAAAGAGTCTCCCTTTACACAGATCATTATGTACAGATGCATGAAAAACAAAATCACCAAAACACTTCAGTCTTAATGGTCTATGGAAATAGGTTCACTCCTTGAAAATAAGGTGTCTAAAAGGTGTTTTGTGGTTTCTGTATTTCTTCTTTTCACTTTACCAGAAAGTTTTCTTTAATGAAAAAAAAACTTTTCTGTTCTCATTCACTAATGAATTTCAATAAACTTTCTTACTGATGCAAGCTATCCAATTTGGTCAGAATTGTCTTTATTTAAATTAATTGATATTTTGAACCTTAAAGATTGATGAGCTATAGCCTTTGAAATTTGATTTATCCAGAAATTCTGAAGACAGAACTATTATCATTATGATTTCTCTATTAAATGTTTTAATCTTGTGGGTATGTTGGATCAATGTCAGTAATCTCACAGAGTGGAAAGTCTCTGAGACGGTCTTACTGTTTCTTAAAGACACACAATATATGGAAAACTCCCAGTGCTCTGGCTTTGAATTATTTCAATCCTGAAAATTCTAAAATATCTCAGACCCCAAAGGCAGTTATCGGAAGTTTCACATTTTCTGATTACTTGGCTTCTCACATTTACCTACCCTCATTTTCTTCCCATTCATTTCTGCCCAACTGCTGTATAGCTTAAGAGATATCATCCACCACTTACCAGGCCAGTAAAATCGTATCACCCCAACAAAATTATTTGGTGTATATCAGATGAGCAGGAGAAACACTGTCAAGACATGATGATGCTAGTTTTACCAAAGGGACAACTAAGGTCCCTGCCTTCGCCAAACTCTGTCTAGTGATAAGGGCTAAAGACCTGGTACTTGTCAACCCAATCACATCCTTCAGCCACTAAGAACCCAACTGACACTACTTAGTACTCTGCTAGTATATGGAGTAGATGGATTTATTAAAGGCTGGATTTATTTGTTGCCCCTAAGATTACCTTGTGTTCCCTGGTAAATTCCTAGATTACCCATGTCTACCAAATAGCAGCCTTCCTCTGTATCCTTACTGATTTGAGCTTGTTTCCCCCAAGACCTGAGCCTTGGTCCCCAGGTCATTTACTTGGGACTCCCGCTGGGTAAACCCTACCCTCTACTCCAGACTGATGACCAGAGCCATATTTCACAATGAATGTACTTCCGTATAGTCAAGGCTCCATGACCTGTCTAGCACCAAATATTACCGTAGTTTAGAAACTGTCCACTGTAGTTGGCATGTCTTTTTATGTGGATACCAGCCTCCCTTCTTGGGAGCCAGTCTCCTAAGCTTCACTGTTGGAAGTCCCAACATGCCACACTGCAAAACCCTAAAACAGAGATGTTGCTGGGTAAAGCCTCTGAGCTGCCACTGTGTATATACTGACTGCTGTTCAGAAACACTACCTTTTCAAAATACCTAACAAAGTTAGCCAAGTCCTAGGATTTAGAGTAGCATTAATAATCTGAGATGGCCATTCTCCTTATTCTGAAGAAATAAGTAGTTACATATTCAATGACAAATATAAATATGTTACTGTGAGATAGTTGTGTTTGTTATTAAACTTTGTCTTTTTTCACCCATTCCCACCACCACCATCTGCCTAGCCCCCCACCCCAAGCCAGGATCTCAGCTGGTCACAGTTTTTCATCTGGTTGGGTGGTAACCCAAACCTTCATTTCTGAAAGGTCTAAATCATGGTAGTCCTGCTTCTTACCTGTTCTGTCTTCCAATACCTTCTTAAACAATTATTTATATTACATTTTCTCTGATAAAGAACTACTTTTTGGGCACCTGGGTGGCTTAGTTGGTTAAGCAACTGCCTTTGGCTCAGGTCATGATCCCGGAGTCCCGGAATCGAGTCCTACAAAAGGCTCCCTGCTCAGCGGGGAGCCTGCTTCTCCCTCTGACCCTCCCCACTCTCATGTGCTCTCTCTCACTCTCTCAAATAAATAAATAAAATCTTTAAAAAAAAAAAAAAAGAAGAAGAACTACTATATGAATGTAAACTTATTGCAGTAATCATTTCTCTGTGTAGGTAAGTCATTATACACCTTAGTGCGATATGTCAATTATATCTCAATAGAACTGAAAAAAATTTTAAATAGAACTTTCTGAACTGGACTCAAACTATAGTTTAATGAAGATAGTCTGTCTAAACAAGTTTAATTTTAACAAGGACATTGGTATTTATAGTTTAAAAAAATTATTGTTATACCTATACAGATCACTATTCTTACAACATGGATTTATCATGTAGCTGCTTAAAAAATCCTGTACACATTCTTACAAATTCTAAAGTTGTCACAGAGTCCTGCTGTTTAAGCAGGACAGTGTCCAATGAGACTAGCAGAGCCAATTCTGGTACTCAGGTGGAATCCTACTAAACAGCAAAAGCTTGTCTCGCCAGAAGGATTTGCATCATGCTGCTTAAAGCTTTGCACAATGAGTCTGATGTCTGTGATGGCTCAATTTTGCTAGGGCATGGCGAAGTAACTTAGTTACGGTCAGGTTTATAAGGGAAATAGCTTGAGTAAGGTTAACTAAATAAGGTCCACCTAGTATCCCATCTACATTGCATCTGGAGAGTGAGAATTAGGGAAAGAGGTCATTTCTGGCTTTAAGCATCCATTTCCAAATCAACGGTTCCTGTTCTTCATATCCTGGCACTGGCATTTACAAATCATGTAACGTTTGGACAAGTTACTTCAACCCTTCTGAGTCTCAGTTTTCTTATCTATACAATAGGGACAACAGCTACTTAGAGATTATTGTGGGGATAAAATGAGTTAATGCCTATAAAACCCTTAAAAAATGCCCACCATGGAGTAGACACTGAAGAAACAGTATGCTATTTTCCACAGCGAAGAAAACCATCAACAAAATGAAAAGGTAACCTACCAAATGGAGAAGATATTTGCAAATGATATATCTAATGGGAGCTAATGTCCAAAATATATAAAGAACTTACACAACTCAAAACACACAAAAAATCCAACTAAAAGTGAGAGAAGACATGAATAGACCGTTCTCCAAAGACATATGAGAAGATGCTTGACATCACTAATTATCAAGGAAATACAAATCAAAACCATAGTGAGATAGCATTTTACACCTGTCAGAATGGCTAAAATGAAAAAGAGAAATAATCAGTGTTGGCAAGGGTGTGGGGAAAAAGAACCCTTGTGCACCATTTGCAGGAATGTAAATTGGTACAATCACTGTGGAAAACAGTATGGAGTTTCCTCAAAAAATAAAAAATAGGAAAACCATATGATCCCGTAATTCCACTACTGGAATATTACTTGGCCATAAAAAAGGATGAGCTACCTTGCCATTTGCAACAACATTGATGGACCTAGAGGGTATTATGCTAAGTGAATAAGTCAGACAGAAATACAAATACCATATGGTTTCACTTATATGTGGAATCTAAAAAACAAAAAGCAGAAACACACCCATAAATACAGAGAACAAATTGATGGTTGCCACAGGGGAGGGCAGTGGAGAGATGGGTATACTGAGTGAAGGGGAATAGGAGATACAGGCTTCGCAGTTACGGAATGAATAAGTCACAGGGATGAAAGGTACAGCATAGGGAATATAGTCAATGCTATTATAATGGCATGGCATGGTGTCAGATGTAGCTACACTTATGAGCACAGCCTAAGTATTGAGTTGTCAAATTGCTACGTTGTATACTTGAAACTAACATAATATTGAGTGCCAACTATATTTCAATTAAAAAACAAAAAATACTATATAATTTGAAAAATATTTTCAAAATATTATCAAAAAAACTGAAAAAGACAGTCCTGAAATTTGGTAATTGCTATAAATTTTTAATTCTGTTCCTTCAATGTATCTGCTTTTATTCTGCCTTTATAATGTGTGCTTCTGGTATGTATTAAATAAATCCAAATAAATGAGGGGTTTTTTTGTTTTTTTTTTTTTTGAGTGAGAGAGAATGAGAGATAGCACGAGAGGTAAGAGGGTCAGAAGGAGAAGCAGACTCCCTGCTGAGCAGGGAGCCCGATGTAGGACTCGATCCCAGGACTCCAGGATCATGACCTGAGCCGAAGGCAGTCGCTTAACCAACTGAGCCACCCAGGCGCCCCTAAATGAGGGTTTTATAAAGAAAAAAAAACCCAACAGTATTCTGTTCATCCTCAGAGAAATATGTTTATTGACTAAATAATCCAGTTTCTCCAAAGATGGACATGAGCATCACAATAGGTTGTCAGAGTAGGTGATCATTAACATGGTCTGCCCCGGGGTAGAGATCAAGGTCAGGTTGCTGTCCTGGGGCTGCAAAACAAAATTCCAGACAGCAGGAATAGTGGTGAGAGTGTGTCACAAAGGATTAGGACGAATGTAGTCCTATGAACCTGAGGTTCAATAAAACAGAGCCAGAGGTGGAGGTAAGTGGGAAGGACCAGATAATTGTCCCAAAGGTTTGAGAGAGTTGACCATGCCTAAAAGCTACAGCTGTGGTCACCCTCATCATGAAGCAAATGACCCATGCTGCATCTTTGAGTGACAAAGAGAAACAAGTTATCACAACAAAAATAAATCCAGTCTGGAAACCAGGTATGAAGGAGATAGATAGATAGATAGATAGATAGATAGATAGATAGATAGATAGATAGATTTTTTTTTTATGGATACTTTTGGAACCAGATTGTCCCACAGAAATTCTGGCCAAAGGAGGAAGGACTCTGAGTTGTCACATTGCTTTTCAGTGTCTCTAAATAAAAATAAAACATCATCTCACACCCCAACACTGAATAAAAGATCTTTGCAGCCTAGTACCAGTTAGAAAGGGAATTATTGTGAGTTAGTACAAATATTAGACATTACCTAGGGGAAGAATTTGAGTAGTGCTCTGAAAATAGGTTTGTCCTTCAGGATTTTAGCAAAGAAAAAAAATCTCATACTTAAGCTTCTAATATCCTACTCTGAGTAAGTTACCTCAGAAGAAAGGCTTAAAAAGCATGAATAAATAGGTTCACAGGCTAGCTGAGCCATGACAAAGCTAATGACCTTTTTGGAAGAAGAACTCTCATTCAAGTTTTGATCTATAGAGCCTCTGGAAGGTTTTCTAAAGTAAGAAATTTGAAGAGAAGACTAGAAAACAAAATGGTACCAAATGCATCTCAGTAGATTGAAAACAGTTGTAAAGATTAAAGCAAGGGGTATGCTAATAAGCACATAAAAAGATGCTCAACATCACTAATCATTAGGGAAATGCAAATCAAAACTACTGTGAGATACCACCTCACACCCATTAGGAAAGCTACCATTAATAATATAATAATAATAATAATAATAATAATAATAATAATAAAAGAAAACAGCAAGTTTTGGAAAGGTTGTGGAGAAACTGGAATCTCTGTGCTCTCTTGGTGGAAATAAATGGTACAGATGCTGCAGAAACCAGTATGATGATTCCTCAGAAAATTAAAAACAAAAGTTCCATATGATCCAGAAGTTTCACTTCTGATACTAAGGTCTCTAAGTGATATTTGTATGTGCCATGTTCACAGCAGCATTTTCCACAGTAAAAACTTGAAGGCATTTGTTTTCTTCCCCTCTGTATGCCCCGCTACTAAAATAGTGCCCTGTGCATAGTAGGTGCTCATTAAATACTTCTTGAATGAACAAAAAACGAATGAATGACACCTGATAGGCAGCATAACTGTAGTCAAAAGTTTCATTTTGCTACTAACTAGAAATTCTGAAAAGAATTTTGTAAGAAATATGTTTATGTTTTTCATTAAAGAGAGATTTTGGCATCATTGAAGTTGCTTTTCTATCTGACTTTAAGATAACTGTATTTAACAAAGGGACCGCCACACTGAATCCCAAGGCCCTTTCTGGCCTGACTCACCCTGCTTCATGCTGTGTGTCCCTGAACAGTGCTTGTCCTCCGTTTTCTCATCCTTAAATCAGAAGAAGGAAATCTTTCTTCCAAATTCCCAGATTCTTTGTAAGCTTCAAACAAGATAATGTACAAGAAATCCCTTTGGAAGCTGTAAAGCACCATATAAACGTAACGAAATCTTGTCTTTATACTCATTGTGCTCTGGAACGTTGAGAAGATAAATGTTGAGGTTGCTTCTTACTAGGGGCTTAGTAATTTCCAGCTGCGGGCTTGCAGAACCCAGGCTGAAGTGGCGATTCAGCCCCAAGCAACATCCATTTGCAGGCCAGTCCTGCCCCCTGGTGGAAACAGAAGGGCAGGGACAATGGCAGTGAACAGTGTGGGATCACCAGGGGCGATCCTAACCAGGGAAACAAGTTACTTCAATTTAAGTTTTTTTAAAAAACACCTTCTTTCCCTTTTTTGTCACAAAATGTCCTTTGGAAAATTTTTTTACATATGCAGGATGCATACACATTACACCAATAACTTGTCTAATTACTATTTACAGTTAATCAGGCACTGACAATTTACAATTCTTCAGATATTTTAATATTCTAATTCCTATTTCAATTTCAATAATTCAATAACTTAAGAGAATAATTTCACAATTAATATAACATGTTAAGACTACTAAGGGCAATATATAAAATAGGTATTTGTATGGGCATGGATCATTTAGAGAAATTATTTGTATCTAAAATACACTCATAGTGACAGAATCTCTAGGCTATCTAGAACATATGCCAAGTCTTCACCCGGCATGTTCCTGGTGACTCTGTACAAATCATTTAACATTTGTGGGTCTCGGTGGCCTCATCTGACAAAGAGGCTGCAGTACGTAATGTCTAAGGCCCTTTGCTGCTCTAAAAAAAAAATCCTACAACTTTGCCCAGAAAATGCATTTAAAGACCGTGCGGATGACAGCCACAGAGCCAGCTAGCCAGGCTTCAGAAGGCTTGTGCCAGCCCAGTTCCAGGAGACACCTGACTGATCTGGAGGCAAAAACAATTTTATACCTGTCTTCTCCACAGAACCAGGAACCAGTCAAGCCCAACCAAATCCCTCCTATCTCTCTTTTTCCTGTCCTCTCCACCTTCACCCTCACCTTCCTGGCCACTGCCTCACAAGGAGGCTCCTCAGGTCACTTCCGGCTCACCTCTCCTGCCCTCTCAGCTGGGACCCCCCACCCTCACCCCGCTCCCTTCCACACACATACCCAGTCATTCCAAACTCTTTGACACAGAAGGCTAAACATGATCCAGCTTCTGCCTGATCCTGACCATACATTTCTTAAAGACTGGACCCATATCTTTTTCATCTTTGCATTTATTTACCATCATGTCTTCATTTTTGCATTTAGCTTTGAACACCAGACATAGTGGTCATATATGTTCAATAAAGGAATCAGTTAATACTTACTGTTATTGTTCAAGGTAATACATAGATGTCACAATCATGGTAAGACCAGAGAAGTTACCAGGATCATATTTTTTTAAATAACACAATTTTTTTTTCCCTGGCAGGATAAAATATGTGTTTCTTTAGTAAATGGTTCTTTATATACCTCTCTGGTAATTAAGACCCTACTGTAGCTAGCTGATGGTACCCTATCACAATCTTACTTAACTTTTAAAACTTTATAATATCTGGTGCCAGATAATGATGGTATGTTCTAGGGTCTAGATGAAAGTAAAGGATTACTCACCCAAAATTAGAAGTTAAAATAATTAACTTAATATAGAATGAACCCGGTTATATTTAAGATAACAAATATCCTGAAGCAACAGCCAGAGATGTTAGACATCAATTTACAAAAAAAAAATCACCTAATTATACATAATTTCATGCTAATCGGAATGATGCCATTTTTCTTCTGGCATGCATAACTCAAATAGAAACACCCCAATAATTGTGTATAAAAGCCCAAAGAAACCATCAGCCCATGATATTCTGTTCTCCTTTGAAGTTACAGCTATCTTGTTACAGACAAGGTGAATATTGCTCATTCTATCATGTCTCTCCGATTTTCTAGTGGGTCCAGGCATATTTGGTTATGGTCTGGAACTGGATCTGTCAGACCATCCAGTGGAGGCTCGGGCTTTGCAGGCAGCAATGCATGTAGCAGCTCTGTTGCTGGAAGCGGATTTTCCTGTGCCTTGGGAGGGGGTCTGGGCAGTCTTCCTGGGGGGAGCCATGCTGGTGGTGTCCTTGGAAACGCTGCTTGTTCTGGCTTTGCTGGAAGTGAAGGGGGACTTCTGTCTGGGAACGAGAAGGTGACCATGCAGAATCTTAATGACCGCTTGGCATCCTACCTGGATAATGTGCGAGCTCTGGAGGAAGCAAATGCTGAACTAGAGAGGAAAATCAAGGGTTGGTATGATAAATATGGACCAGGATCTTGCCGTGGACTTGATCATGATTATAGCAGATACCACCTAATCATCGAGGATCTTAAGAATAAGGTGAGAAATCACAAATCTGAAGATACTCAAAGTATTTAAAACTAAGATTGACCTAGCAAAAGACACAGAACATGAACAGGAAATGCTTCGTAACTATTATCTGTCATTTATGTTCATATTTATTTATTATTTATTTTCATAAATCATTCTTTCTATTAGTCAAAAATAGGCACTTTGATGCATGAACTTCAAGTAGCTTAAATGTTACTGGTTTTGAAATATATTCGTCGATAAGAAAATGTTGCATTCTAAAAGTTAAGTGAGTAGACGAGAAGAAATAACCACATTTGTAATTTTTAAAAATTAACATTTTAAATATTTTAGTTGTCACTTAAGGAAATAAAATTTTTATGCAAAAGTGAATCGTGTCACATTTTTTATTTCCCCACAATAAATTATGAGAGTGGGCTTATTTGTTGTGTCCTCCCTTTTGGTTTCTTCTAGATTATCTCTTCTACTACTGCTAACGCTAATGTAATTCTGCACATTGACAATGCCAGACTGGCTGCTGATGATTTCCGGCTAAAGTAAGTGATAGAAAACAATCACCCTCTAGAAAAAGTTTCCTGTCTATTTTAATATGCTAAATAAAATTTCAATTTCATCCCAAGTAGAATAAACTATAAAAGATTAAAGGAAGTAATGCATGTTTTAATACGACAATACCCTATGACACAAGGCATGTTCTTACAATCAGCTACACTCACAATTTATAAATATTTATTACATTCTTGGGACAAAATATCACTGTATTTCTATGCCTGCCTGGAATAGTGCCAAGCACAAAGTAATAGCTCATAAATATGCATCAGGTAAAGAAAAATAGTCACTAAGATAAAATTCTAAAATGGGGGGGGTACCTGGGTGGCTCAGTCAGTTAAGCATCTGCCTTCGGCTCAGGCCATGATCCCAGGGTCCTGGGATCGAGCCCCAGATCCAGGCTCCCTGCTCAGCTGGGAGCCCACTTCTCCCTCTCTTCCTGGCTTGTTCTCTCTATCACTAACTCTGTCTCTCTCAATCTCTCTAATAAATAAAATCTTTAAAAAAAAAATCTGAAATGGCATATTGTTAATTAACTGGGATCCTTTATCAGAATTTGTGTTACACTAAATAACTGCCAATTTCCTTGCACAGAACTGGGTAAAAGGAGTGGAGGAAGGCATTCACTGCATACTTTTATAACATTCTGAGTCCCATTTCAATTTCCGATGTGCTGCTTAAAGCGACTGAGGTTTTATTTTTCTGCCTCTTGAGGTTGTCTAACTGGTGCTGAAATTCATTTAATGCCCGCCAAGGTATGAAAATGAGCTCGCCCTGCACCAAAACACGGAAGCTGACATCAACGGGCTGCGGCGAGTCCTGGATGAACTAACACTCTGCAGAACCGACCAGGAGCTGCAGTATGAATCCCTGAGCGAAGAGATGAGGTACCTCAAGAAGAACCATGAAGAGGTAGAAGCTGTACTTCTAGTCAAATCGTGATTCTGTACATTTTAAATACTTCGGGGGGGACTTTAAATTATAACAGTATTTTGTGCTCATTATAATAATTTAAACAATGCCAAGGCATACAGAGAAAGAATTTTCTTTCTCCTGGTCTCTGCCCTTCTAATCTCATCCCCCAAGGCTATAAATATTAACCATTTGATCTGTACCCTTCCATTTTTTAGGCGGATAGAACAGCCTATCCTTTTGAAAATGGTGCATTGTTTTTGCATTGATACACCCGTCTTTGCCTGCACTAGATTATTTCTTTCATTCATAAAAGCCTATCCTGAGGTCCACCTTCTCCTAAAGACCTCTCTGACTTGGAAAACATGTTTTCTCCACTTAATGAGCCTGGCTTTGCTTGAATGATGAACCCTGCACAATAATAAACCCATTACCTGACACGTTATACCAGCCCGCTTCAAACCCCCTAGGGGGAGAAGAAAAATGCCTATCCCCCAAATAGTCTCCAAAACGATGGATGAAAATTTTTCGGAAAACACCCTAAGACAGGTTAGAAAAGCCTAAAACACCAGCTCTACTTGCCCCCAAGGAGAGAATTATGGGGGACGGAAAGGCCAGGAAACATGAAAAGAGAAAGAGGGCAGAGAGCTGGAAAGGCAGGAACGAGGCAGAGCGATTTTGTGCACTGACCATGACCTGCCCCTCGAGTCCCGCTCACGTTTCCCTGCAGGAAATGAAGGCGCTGCAGTGCGCGGCTGGAGGGAACGTGAACGTGGAGATGAACGCAGCGCCCGGGGTGGACCTCACGGTCCTGCTGAACCACATGCGCGCCGAGTACGAGGCCCTGGCCGAGCAGAACCGCAGGGACGCGGAGGCCAGGTTCAATGAGAAGGTGAGGCCGCCCACCCAGCCCCCGCCTCCGCCTGCCCGCCCGGGGGGTGCAGGGCCGCTCACCCCTCTGCACCCCACCTTGCAGAGCGCCACCCTGCAGCAGCAGATCTCCGACCACGCGGGCGCGGCCACCTCGGCCAGGAACGAGCTGACCGACATGAAGCGCACCTTGCAGACCCTGGAGATCGAGCTGCAGTCCCTCCTGGCAATGGTAGGCGAGAGAGCGCGGGTCAGCCTGCATTTTGTGACTCTCACGGAAACCCTCCTCTTCTTCCCTGTTAGAGCTTTACCTCCAAAAAGAGAGCTGGGAAGACAGAAGACACTGAGACACTCAGACAGACAAAGCATTTCTTCCTCCCTGAGGTCACTGAGGATTTCCTTCCTGGCCTCTGCTCAGTGTCCCTTTCATGAAAATAGCTCACGTTTCACACCGTCCCTTCCTCAGGCGGCAGAGCAAGCAGCAGGGGTATTACCCCGCCTGAAAATTAAGTGTCACGCCAATGTCAGGTGGCCACACAGGTAGACCTAGCATCATCAGCATCTCCTAGTACTGCTGAAGGCCAATTAAAGCCACTGGGTGCTTGTCATCAGGCAGAGGAAAAGAGGGTACATATGCGAATCGCTATGAGCCCTGTCAGCCCCTTCATCCCCACCCACCTCACAGAGCTGGGCATTCAGCCAGCTTGGCACCTATTGCCAATTATTTCAGAGGTTACCATGGAGATAATCCGGGACTAAAAATGGCTTCCCTTCTGTTGTATGAGCTGTCAGCACCCAAAAAGCTTGATTTTGAGAATTACCACATACCTGTGGTAACAAGGGTTCCCATCCTCATCAGGGGTTTCATGCTTCCTGAGGACTGGAAGCTGTAACCCAAAGAAAAGAGCCATTATTATACAAATGAGTGCAGTGAGCAGAGAAGGTAAGGATGACTCAAAACTACAGGAAGACCATTTTGATTTAGCCACCCTAGAAAGGTACAGTGCTCTCTTACCATTATAAGGTTTAGATTAGAGACTTGTTTTGACCACTGACTAACCCCCAACTTAACCAGGGTGCCCCTCTCGTCCTGACCCTGGTCACCACTGCTGGCTGGTAACCCAACCCTCCCGCTGCCACTCTGGGCTCCTGGAGCCCTGCTCTCTGCCCCGTTCCCTTCTTCCCTGCGACTAGGACCCCGAGGACCTGTTCTGGCTGCTGTATCCCTGAGCACAAATCTGCCCTCGCGTTTCTGACCTACGTTGAAGCAAATGAACTCCCGAGTTCCCAGATCAAAATGGAAGCATTTTCACGTAGGAGATGATGTTAGAAAGTAGTTAATTCTGTGCAACCGGGAGTACCATGGTTTGGGCTCCAGAGATAATCCACGCAACATAACTGAATTCTAGAATAACGGTGGTATAGAACCTAACTACCGTGCTTGAGAGTCTTTTGTCACGGATGGATTCTAAGCAGGATCTTCTGTAGTTTAGTGCACAAATCACGTGTAAGTTGGGACTGGCCTAAATATGTAAACTTCTCCTAAGCTTCCTGTAGTATGCAAACTTGCAAGTTCATCCTGTCCTCCTTCCGTATCTACAAGCTAACCTTTACAGGGAACAGCTGTAGAGATAGGGATGCTGTGCCCTCTGATTAAGAGGAGTATTAGCAACCTGAAAAAGGGATGCCAGGGGCACCTGGGTGGCTCAGTTGGTTAAGCATCCGACTCTTAATTTTGGCACAGGTCATGATCTCAGGGTTGTGAGATCGAGCCCCTCATCAGGCTCTGCGCTGGGTGGGGAGCTGGCTTGAGATTCTCTCTCTCCCTCTCCCCTTACCACCCGCCTTCCTCTCAAAAAAAAAAAAAAAGGAATAAAATGAATACCATATGAGAATACATCAGGGAAATTAAAGTTTTGAACAGCTGAGCACACACCTCACTGATGTCTTGCCACTTGGTGCCTCCTCCTCCCCCATTACCATGCTGTTCACCTTCCACTCCTTTGCCCTGGAGAGCCCAGCACCACCCATGTAATGCACCAGTTGGCCAATTTATTAAGTCAGTGGTTCTTAGCCCCATCAAACCCCATGTCCGCCTGTTATGATGAATATTTTATAACTCCCTCTTTATCCTAGAATGAAGTCCATAGAGGATATATTTAGCAATACAAAAAAATTTTAAAAACCACTATAATGCCATAACTGCAATAAAAAGGAAAACTAAAAGTATTTTTAAATAAAATCTATTTAATATGTAAACACTTGGGCCCAACGACCCCCAGGACATGTAATGAGAGAGACAGAGGCTTACCCTTCCCTTGATAAGTAAATTTTTATGTTAAACAAGGTAAGATCAGGAGTGGCTCCACACAAGAAGGACAGGAAAATGAAAGAGTACGAATGGGGCTGGACCCTCAGATAATAACTAATATCAGAAGAAGTAATAACCACCCAGAGGTACTTACCTATGATAAGGGGAGAGGAAAATTACTTTAATTGAAGTAGACATCCCATGATGAGACAGATGACAGGCTGTGCAAGAGGAAATGAGGAGGTATAATATTCATAAGAGTAGTGGGGAAATAACGACCTGGAGCATACTGTGAAATGTATCTGTTGTGTTGAAAGCCCACCCCTGGTAAGGCATTCATTCTATCTCTAGTGCTTCATGAAAAGGCCTCTGAATAACAACAAGCAAAGCCCGGACAGATCAGAAAAACAAAAAGCAGCGTGCAAGGCCTTGGACCAGTGGTGGGGTAGGTCTCTGGAGACAGGAGCAGAATGAGATTGAAAAACAAAAACGAACCCAAAAATAAGTATGTAACTTCAATCTATAAAATTTCCAATATGATTTCTTACTGCGCTGTCCCCCAAAAAGAGTTTTAATGTGTAGGTTGACCATGATAGGAAATATTACCTAAATATCATGAAAGTCCGTTGGAACAGTCAAAAGTCTCGTGGGCAAGGGTCATTTATGCCACATCAGGTCCTCCAGCGTGCCAGGCCCCCACCCAGGGAAACACCTGTGACTTCCCCTTCCTCTGCACCTCCCCTGTTGTTGTGACGAGCCCCATAGATCTCCAAAACTCACCTAGGAAGCCATGCTGCCGTTTGCTGAGAAGCTCTGGTCTGCATAGTCCTCAAAGTGGCTTCATCCTTGCTGTGACATCCCCTGTCCTCAGAAACACTCCCTGGAGTGCTCCCTGACCGAGACCGAAGGCAACTACTGTGCACAGCTCGCCCAGATCCAGGCTCAGATCGGGGCCCTGGAGGAGCAGCTGCACCAGGTCAGAACCGAGACGGAGGGCCAGAAGCTGGAGTACGAGCAGCTGCTCGACATCAAGGTCCACCTGGAGAAGGAAATCGAGACCTACTGCCGCCTGATTGATGGAGACGGGAAGTAAGTAACACCATTTGAAAATCCGGCATTTTACCGGATAGGTTTTTACCTATTTTAAGCCACAGCTATGGACTGTCCATCCATGTTCCATGCCTCCAAGCCTCTTCTTCTTCATTCCCACTGCAGAGACGTGTGTCTACCTCTTCCCTCTGCAGTCATCCCTTCCATATTTTATACATCACAGCCCCTTCTTCATCTGCTTTGGATGACCCCAGTTGTCCCTGCAGAAGATCCCATTCAGTACCCATGTTCATCATTGTAGGTCTCAAGATTACCCCCCACCAGGCTTTACCCATCTTTCACTCCTTTCCTAATATCATCAATGGTCTGAAATAAACGTACTCTATACAAACCCCCAGGATCTATATTCTCCCCCAGGAGCATGCGACTCTTGATCTCAAGGTTGTGAGTTCGAGTCCCACGTGGGTGTGGAGATTACTTAAATAAATAAAACACTTAAAAGAAAAAAAGAAGTAGGTGCGCCTGGGTGGCTCAGTCAGTTAAGTGTCCAACTCTTGATTTTGGCTCAGGTCATGATCTCAGGGTTGTAAGATCCAGCCCCTCATTGGGCTCCCCACTGGACAAGGAGCCTGCTTAAGATTCTCTCTGTCCCTCTCCCTTCGCCCTTCCCCCGCCTCTCTCCCTCTCTAAGGAAAAGTATTATTTTCATTTAAAAAAGTATATATTCACATATGTGTATATAGAATATATTATGTATGTATATGAATATGTATATATATTCTCTGTAGGTTTTAAATTCTTGAGTTTAAAAAAAAATCAAATGAAAACAAAGTAGTTTTATATCCTTTCTTTAGAAGACATTTAATTATTTTTACCTCCTAGACACAAAAATTTTAATATTTTCCTTTACAGAAAACTAAGATCTGTTTTTGGCATACAAAGTTCCCTTGAGTTCATGTTCATCATTTGACTCAATGAATATTTCTTAAGTGATAACCTGAAATATTAAAGAATAAACTGGGGTGGGTTTTTTTGTTTTTTGTTTTTTGTTGTTTTTTGTTTTTGTTTTTTTGCAGCTCATGCTCCAAATCAAAGGGCTTTGGATCAGGAGGCTCAGGGAATTTACCTAAAGGTAATAAAATCTAGTTCTGTTTCTGCTGTAAGTACTTTCACATTAATGGCAATCATATACTGTGGCAACATCTGTATTTAAGTAATTTTAACTAAAGTGCTCTGAACTTAAAGTATTATTTTAAGTGGATAAAATTATCCCAAACTATTATAATAAATCTGTACATGCTCTCTCACCGAAGTGTACATAATATGTTATAAACAGCACTGGAATTCTTCCTCATGTAATCTTTTAGCTGGAATATGTGTATTCACAGGCGTTTTATTTCTAGAATTATCCAAAACCACATTGGTAAAGACAGTGGTTGAAGAGATAGATCAACGTGGTAAAGTTCTTTCATCGAGAGTTCACGCCATTGAAGAAAAGACATCTAAAATGACCAGTGGCAAAACAGAGCAAAAGGTTCCATTCTAGCCGCCGTCGAGAAAAAACAATCTGGGGAAAAGGATCCTATACAACTGCATTATTCTAAATATCAAGGAAATTTAAAAAAAAAAAATTTTTCTACCCTTACCGATAATTTACTTAGCAAAAATACTTGTTTTCTTAGTTAACTTTTACAGGGTCTTGGGCGTTTGTTTTCAAATAAATAAAAAAGTAGATGTGCACTTATTTCCATTCACCCATAACTAATAAACAATTATTTGAGATTTATTTTTTTTCTACATCTCATTCACGGGCATTCATTTATGGAATCTATTTTCATTGCCTTTCACTCTAGTTTTAAATAATAGTCAATACCACATGGCATTTCAATATTAATATTCACTAGGTATAATCTTTAAATATCTCACCATTTTGCATGGGCAAATAATCTGGGGAAAAAATCAGAAATTCTTCTGTAATTGAAAAATCCCATCACTAGATGGCGCATTCCTGGTATTTTACCAATGACCTTACCAAGCTCTTCTGGAGATCTGCGTACTTTCCAGTATACTGTTCCCCATATAATCAGGATTAACTCTAGAAAGATCCACAGCAATGAGCCTCATGTGAATGACTTTTTTCCTAGAGCAAACTCCGTCGAGCCCCAGAGAGCAACTAGTTCAAGCTTAGCAGGCCATAAGGTCTCTATTTCAACTTCTTGGCTAAGACATTGTAGCAGAAAACAGCACAGACAATAGATAAATGAATGAGCATGACCGTGTTCCAATAAAACTTTATTTATGGACACTGACATTCGAATTGCAACTAAGTTTGATGTATTATGAACTATTATTCTTCTTTTGATTTTTTTCCCAACCATTTAAAAATGTGAAAACCATTCTTAGCTCATGAGCTGTACAAAAACAGGTGACAGACCAGATTCAACCCGCCAACACCTGGTCTAGAACTTAAAATCTCATGAGGTTGATGAACACTATGGTTATTGTGTCTTTCTATGTTTCTGGATCAAAATGTATGGTAAGGAGTCCTAACAAACATTAAATTCCCTAAAAGGAGAGCAGCTCTCCTATTTCTGTAAAATGTGGCCTGATTCTAATAAGAAGCTCCAGTGAAGGCGGGACTTCTACCCAACAAGGCAACAGCCACATGGGAGTTCAAAGAAGTGGCAAAGGATGGGATGCTTTCAAAATCTTGAGCCAAAAGGTATCAAATGAAGCAAATACTAGAAATTCATGGGGAAATAATCTCCCAAATATACAGTGTACAGGAGCAGCTGTATAATTTGCAGGGCTAAGGGCAAGATGAAAATGTAGAGTCCTTGTTCAAAAATCAGGGGGAGAAAGTGTCATTAAAGGCACTAAAATATAAAGTTTTTTCCTTCCTTCTGCAGTCATGCACTCTACTTGTCATGGTTTGTTTTTCCTTTTTTAATTTGTCATTTAATGTCATTCTAAGTAAATAAAAATTAAAATGCTAAGTCATTGGCATAATTTTTGCCATTCATTTTTATATTGGGAGATACCCATTTTAAATTCAAATATAAGAACATTTAACTTGTGTACAGAATCACCAAAATAACACAATCCATATTTTGTGGCTGATACATGTGAAGGGAAGCAAAAATTCTTCCTCGACTCTTCAAGGTCTTCCATCTAGACTAAGAATTAATTTACATGAGTCAAATTAATTGGAGAAAAAAATGAAGTCTTAGTACGTGTGTACAGAGACCCAATAATGAATTTGAGACCCAAAGAATGACCAAGGCAGGCAGTTTTTATACTTTTTAGACAAAGAGAAAATAAATCTGTGAGCAATTGACAGTAGAAAGAAAACGTAGCTTTGGGAACTTCAATTAATAAGGAATTCTAAACAGAATTCAGGCTGTGGTAGTAAATCAGTAAAAAGTAAGAAGAGTTGTTTATACAACCATCTTGGCTCTAAATTTTCCATCTTCGGTAATAAGGACATCTCTTTACCTCTTGGTATAGAGAGGGGAAGGTATGTTTCACATGGGAGATTTATTTCCTGCTTTCAGGGGGACAGAGGAGGTCTGAGTGTCCTTCTTGTACAGGCTATCCCTTAAGTAGCTTTTATTTAAAATAGTCAATATGCCAGGGGCACCTGGGTGACTCAGTTGGTTAAGTATCTGCCTTTAGCTCAGGTCATGATCCCGGAGTCCCAGGATTGAGCCCCACATCAGGCTCCCTGTTTGGTGGGGGGAGTCGGCTTCTCCCTCTGACCCTCCCCCCTCTTGTGCTCTCTCTCTCTCACTCACTCTTTCTCAAATAAATAAAATATTTTTTAAAATTTAAAAAAAAATAAAATAAAATAGTCAATATGCCAAGGTGGCATATTTTGGGGCAGCCTGCCTTTGGTTGGCCCCTACACATGCATATGTATTTTGTTCTTACCAAAACAGTGGAAACACTGCACCAAACCAACTCAATGGGTTTTCTTTCACTCCTTTATCTGCTCACATTCTGCCAACACTACCCACCATTGGCATACCAATGAGTAAAAAAAGACAGGAAAAGATGCTGTGGGTTGCCCTATTCTTCTATAGCACTGTTTTCAGCCTGAGTGGTTGGCTCATACAGGAATGTAACAGTATGTGATAAGGTTCCTTGGTAGTTCCTGTTCCTTAGAACACCATTGCCTTCTTTCTGCATTTGAAACAAATGCCATTTGAATGGAAAACCTCTCGGGGTTGTCAGAAACCCTACTTACTCAGTCATAGACATACTTACCTTGCACTTGCTTTGAGTTTCAGCAAACTCCGCAGGATGGGCGCACCAGAATGCTGTGCACCTGGGCATTGCATATGCTACATGCTGCTGAGGCAGTAAGGAAAAACTGCAGACAAATGTTATTTCCATCCATACTCCTTTGCTCAAACGCTTGTCCCAGCAGGCTTCACTTACAAGACACAAACTCAGGAAATAAAATTATTAAGAATACCAAGATGGCAACAGAAGAGCATTAAACCAAGTGTGGGGTCCTTCTGAACAGGAGACCGTGTGTCCTGCACAGGTTTCACGCTGATGAAGCCAGCCCTGCTTATCAGGTGTGCTCATAACACATTGACTTTAAAAACACTGTCTTCATGGTGATCGGCTTTTCATGGTGTGATACTGTGAATTATAATAAGAAATATATTTTTGTCCCATTCCTGGCACAGAGTTCCTAAAACCCTTGGAACTGCCAAGATGTCCAGAGCCATCAAGGTTCTTTTGTGATATTAATGAGGTGACTTTTGGAAAGCTTATAAAGAAACTAAAGATGCAGGTGGCTGTCAGTTGAGTCAACCATGTGAGTAGACGTTTAGAACTTTCAGTCCCACCCCCAACCCCACCTCCTGGGAGGGGAGAAGGGGGTGGAGTTTGAGTTCAATCACCAAAGGCCAATGATTTAATCAACCCCACCTATGTAAGGAAACTTCCATAAAAACCCAAAAGGATGGGGTTTGCAGGGCTTCCAAGTTGATGAACATGTGGAGATTTGGGGAGGATGGTGCACCTGGAGAGGGCACAGAAGCTCCACACCCTTTCCCCATACCGTGCCCTATGCATCTCTTCCATAGGACTGCTCCTGAGTTCTATCCTTTAACAGTAAACCAGTGATCTAGTGAGTAAAACGTTTCTCTGAGTTCTGTGAACCACTCTCGCAAATTAATCAACCCAAGGAGGGGATCCTGGGAAAATCTTTGATCTACAGCCAGTGGGTTAGATGCATAAATGACATTCCAGACTTGAGATTGGGGTCTGAACTAGTTGGAGGTAGAGTAAGCAGTCTTACAGGGCTGAACCCTTCACCAATCTCCAGGTAGACAGTGTCAAAATAGAGTATGGGAGAATTGTTGCTGGTGTCAAAGAATTGCTTGGTGTGGGGGGAGAAAACCCACACCCTGGAATTGAAATCAGAGTTGTACTCTCACGGTAGGTAGTATGGGGAGCACACATTGCACTTTGTGGTAAGGGTACTTTTGATGTGACAAGATTAAAAAGAAAAGCAAATAACTCTAAGTCATCATTTTGTTAAAAAAAAAGAAAGAAATTACAAGCCTATAATGAAGTCGTATGCCCCCCACAACAGCAGACCAAGACTTAACTACAGTTTCAACCTTTTCCAGGAATGTGACATTTTAAGTCAATCTGAAATTTCCTGATCCGCACTGGTGAGGTCCTCTGCATGATTTAAAAAACCCTGCCCTTCTCTTTCCCCCTCCCCACCACCCCACCCCCCACGAAAGAAGAAGTAACAATCCTTTTGTTTTTTCTGTTGCTAATAACCTCTGGCTCCACCCTCCTTCCTAAAAAAGCCTTTCATTTTGTACAGCTCCTCAGAGCATCTCACTGCTTGTAAAATGGGATGCTGCCCAATTCATGCATCACTTCATAAAGCCAAGTAGATCTTCAGATTTACTCCGTTGAATTTTGTTTTTTAACAATTTCTTGCCAAGAGAACAAACCAGAATTCCTGCATATGTATTTAACAAAGGAACAGATGTAAAATTAAATTCTGGGTGTGTTTCCTTTATGTTCTGTTGAGTTCATAGGATCAAAGCAAATATCCCATCCTCAGAATTTAGTCTTAAATCTGTTCTTCCTTTAGAGGAGAGTAAGAATTCACCATGGCCTTTAGGTCTATGATTTTCCTTCACTCGGCAGAATTCTAGGGCTCCTGAGTTCTTCAAGAGTTCTACTAATAATTACATGTTTTTCTCCAATCCTTGAAGGGTACTTTTTGCTGTGGGGAGCTTCCAAGGAATCGGTTGCCATCTGAAGGAGAAGGACTTCAGATACTGTGCTTAGGAGGTTGTTAAAGCAGAAGCCCCAAACTGATATCCCTTCTTTTAACAAACACCCAAGATTTGTGGATGCTCATTACAAAAGAAGTGAATTACCATTTGTTGTTGGGTGTTGCAAATGTGTTGCTATTGCTGTTTCTCTTTTAATATTTTTTGTCGTCACACAGAATTTTATAATATATTATCATAAATATAGATAAATTTCCATCATAGATTCGGAGTTTTACATCTGCTGAGAAAGGTCTTTGTCATTCCAATATGATAAGTAAAATTGCCCATGTTTTTCTTTTAGTACTTTTGAGATGATCATAGGATTTTTGTCATATGACATTTTATGCATGTAATATTTAACCATCCTCATTTCCTATAAATCACTCCCTTGGAATAGCATATGCTATTTAATATACTATTGAATTGTATTTGCTAACATTTGACTTAAGATTGTGTATTACCAGAATACGTCTTTTCT